GGATAGTGCTTGAAGGGCAGAGTCCAGTGGTCCTCACTGGGCACGCGGACGCTTCTTGGGCTGACGACCAGGCTACACAGCGGTCGTCACAGGGTTACACCTTCAGTCTTGGTTCCGGCTCTGTTTCGTGGAGGGCTACTCGCTCGTCTTCCGTTCTCGGCTCCAGTTGTGAGGCTGAGATCTACGCAAGAGCCATGGCTGCTCAGGAGCTTCGCTGGCTCACCTACCTGCTGACTGACCTCGGAGAGCCGCCTTGTTCTCCTCCAGTGCTGTACGTAGACAACAAGGCCATGCTGGCCTTGTGTCGGGAGCAGCGCCTAGAGCACAGAACGAAGCACATTGCTCTCCGCTACTTTCTTGCTCGTGAGCTGCAGCAGCGTGGTCAGTTGCGACTTGCATACGTGGCCTCTGAGGCCAACACTGCTGATATCTTCACTAAGGCACTTGCGCCTTGTGATCATCAGCGGTTCTGTACTCAGCTTGGCCTTGTGCATGCCTTGCCTCACTTGCTCACTTCTTGACCTTGCTTGTTTAGCCTTTTGCTGTCACATATATATACTCCTGCTCTTGCTTGTTGAGCCTTTTATATATATATATGTGCTCCTGCATGTGAACTGGCCTTCTGGCCTTAAACTTGTGTTCGGAATGTGTGGTGACTTTGTGATCCACCCTGAGCTTTGCTTTGTTCTGCTTCACAGGTCTTGTGACCCCTTGTTCTCCCCCACTTTGCCTATGGGGGTGTGTCAAATCATAATGTTCTGTAGGCTGTAGTGGGGTAGCCTATATGGGGTACACATTTTTAGGGTTGCACATTTGTACCACATTCCATTCCTTAGTGCATCATTCTTCTCTCGTTTCAGTTTTCTCAGAACGGCGGCAAAGAAGTGTCGGTGCGCAGAAACAGCGACAGGTCGGCAGTAGAGGGAGCAAACCCAAGAGCCGCAGGTGTAGTCCTCAGTGTGTCGTGCCACTCACGCGGTGCCTGGCGGAGACCATAGACTGGCCGCCGGAGGCTCCACTGGGTGCCAGGAGGAAAAGACCCAGTGAAGCCAGGTGGGCGACGCAGTCAGATCTCCTCATGCAGGCTACCCTGCAAGAAAGCAGTGTTGAATTCAAGAGAGTGCAGCTCGTAGTCACGGTGAGCAGCTATGTGCAGCAGTACCCGAAGAGTGGTCATCTTCGGGGTGGGAGAGAAGGTCTGAAAGTAGTCAACTCCCTGCCGCTGACTGAAGCCACGAGCCACGTAGCGCGCCTTGAAGAAAGGCGGAGAACCCGGCGGCCGCTTCACCCTGAAAATCCACATGCCACTGACGATGTTCGCCCCAGGTGGGGGAACCTCGTCAACGTAGGTGCCTGTGGACTTCCAGGAAGCCATCTCTGCGTCCATATCTGCCTGCCACTGAGAGGAGTAGGGACCCTCTATCGCCTCCGCGTAAGAGCGCGGAGTCGGGATGTCAAGTGCATCCGGGTCTCCCTCGGGGGTAAGCAGTACGGACACGAGATGAGGTGAAGCAGCAGCCAGACACTGGAACTCCTCCTGCCTGTCCTCAAGGACGTCCGTGCCCATGGCACACTCACCCCCGACGGACGAAGGACAGACAGACTCAGACTCAGCGACAAGACTAGCAGCGTAGTCTAGACGACAGCGAGCAGCAAAGTCGACGAGCTCAGTAACCAGGGCAGACGCAGCAGTGGACTCAAAGGAAGGGTCAGTGACGACAGTAGCAAGGAGACGCGTGACTGTAGGACTGGCAGCACGAAGAGAGTCCGACTCCGGGTCGGCAAGAGCAGGAAGAGAGGACTCAGGAGGAGAAGGCAAAGGGGCACGCAGAGGAGCAGTGGACGGACACAGAGACATCCGGTGCGTGCCAGGGACAGGAGGAGGACGGTGACGCGAACCACGACCACTAGTGCGAGCAGGGCGGACAGGCGACGCAGGGCGAGACGCAGGCTCACGACGCTCAGCAAGACCTCCAGTAGGACCAGTGTAGGGAGAAGGAGTAGGTAGCGGGGAGGCCGGCTGTAACTGTAACTGTGACGGGACAGGCTGTGGACACTCTAAGGGAGGAGAAGGACCAGTAGAAGGCGGGAGACCAAGAACCTGCTGAAGGAGCGGAACGAAGTATAACCGAGGCCGCGCGGCGACTCTAGACACAGCAGGAACAGCACCAGTACCCCTAGTGGCAGCACCAGCGCCAGGAGCACCTCCAGCTCCAGTGCCTCCAGCAGCACCAGTAGTACCCCCAGCAGGACCGCCTTCAGGACTGACAGCAGTAGCCTCAGCACCAACACCCTCAGCACCTCCAGCTCCAGTCGCACCCGCAGGCCCAGCAGCTCTAGTACTCCTAGCACGAGCACCTCCGGGACCCGCGTCACCAGCACCCTCAGCAGTCGGAGAACCTCCAGCTCCAGCAGCACGCCTCCAGCGCCGGGCAAACCACTCACGTAGCTCCTGTGGAGAGAGGGGCTCCCGTCGAGACGAAGTAGCCGGAGAACCTCCAGGCCCAGCACCGCCATACGCCACACGAGTAGGCCCAACCCCCTCAGGCTCCGCACCTCCAGGCTCAGCACCCCCAGGCGTAGCACCCCCACGCTCAGGACCCCCAGGCGTAGCACCCCCAGGCTCAGCACCCCCAGGCTCAGCACCCCCAGTCGCAGCACCCCCAGTCTCAGCACCCCCAGTAGTAGCACCCGCAGGCTCAGCAACCCCAGGCGCAGCACCCACACGCTCAGCACCCGCAGAGTCAGCACCCCCAGGCTCAGTACCCTCAGCAGCACTAGAGTCACCAGTAACCTCGACAGGCTCGACTGCGTCTACCTGGGACACACCTGAAGGGGCAGGACCCTGAGGGGGGAGGGGGTCTACCGGGGGGGGACCTGGTACAAGGAAGAGCGGCGGCGGGGGGAGGGACGGAGTGCGGTAGGGGAAGAGGCGGTAGTAGGGGACCGACTCGTCAAACGTGACGTCCTGGGAGGACAGAACACGCCGAGAGGTGGGGTGGTAGAACTGCCACCCTGGGGCGTCAGGGGGGAAGCCAAGGAAGACGCAAGGAGCAGCACGAGGGGACAGCTTGTCCGCAGACAAGTCGCGAACAAACGCTCGAGATCCCCAGACACGGAACGCAGACTCATCGCCAACCTTTCCCGTCCACAGCAAAGCTGGGGAGGTCTCCGGCCTGGAGACCCTGGGGTGAAGGTTGATCTGATGCGCCGCGTACCAAACCGCAAATGGCCACAGAAAATGGGGGGCAGCCGCATGCATCATGGACGTACGAGCGACATCCATGACCATGCCAATGCGGCGCTCAGCAATCCCATTTTGCTGTGGGGATTCCGGAAGCGTGAAGGTCTGGCGGATGCGTCGTGCATGACAGTAGGCTCGCAGGTGGCGCGGCGGCTCGGGTGGCGCGGCGGCTCGGGTGGCGCGGCGGCTCAGGCGGCTCAGGTGGCTCAGGTGGCGCGGCGGCTCGGGTGGCGCTTGCGTCTCGGCAGTAGCCCGGCGGGGCCGCGTGAAGGCGGGGTCGGGGCCGGGAAGGGCATACGACGGGGCCAGCAGGGGCTGGGCTGGGGCCCTAGGGTAGGCGACGGGGCCAGAGGTAGGCGACGGGGCCGCAGGTAGGCGGCGGGGCCGCAGGTAGGCGACGGGGCCGCAGGTAGGCGGTGGGGCCGCAGGTAGGCGACGGGGCCGCAGGTAGGTAGCGGGGCCGCAGGTAGGCGACGGGGCCGCAGGTAGGCGGCGGGGCCGCAGAGAGGCGGCGGGGTCGCAGGTAGGCGACGGGGCCGCAGGTAGACGGCGGGGCCGCAGGTAGGCGACGGGGCCGCAGGTAGGCGGCGGGGCCGCAGGTAGGCGGCGGGGCCGCAGGTAGGCGGCGGGGCCGCAGGTAGGCGGCGGGGCCGCAGGTAGGCGACGGGGCCGCAGGGTCGGGGCCGGGTCGGGAAGGGCGGCGCGAGGGCCGCGGGGTAGGCGACGAGGCCGAAAGGGCGGCGAATCGGGGCCGCGAAGGGCGGCTCGAGGGCCGCGGGGTAGGTGACGGGGCCGCTAGGGCGGCGAATCGGGGCCGTCAAGGGCGGCGCGACACAGCCGCTAGGGCGGCGCGACACAGTGAGAAAGGGGGAGCGCGACTCGGGCAAGGGCAGAGCGTGCTCCGAGCAGGAAAAAAAAAATCGAATCGGTGGGCCCTAGGAACAGTTCCCACGAGGGAACCTGCTCGATTCCATGAGAAAACTGAAACGAGAATGAATGCACTATGAAAGAGTTGGGTACAAGTACTAACCCTAATTGGGTTGTACCCTATATGGGCTACCCCACTACAGCCTACACAAAAGCATAAGCTATAATGTTCTGACAAAAATTCCTTACAGTCATCAACTTCCGCACTATCCAATTTCGCGAGTGAGTTTCGAATGCAAGTATTCACAGGTCGTACAATAACATTTAACTATCTAGGTCAGTTCAACTTGTTGAAGAAGCACACTTTTTATTATTAATGCATTTAGTTTTTGGGACCCCAGCCTAGTACACCAATCAAATGAGCTTAGGTTTTTTTTAACCTTGTTTCCATCTGTGTACGAGAAATTTTACCCTTAAGACAGGGTGAGCCAAAACCAATTTTGGGCCTGGCTCATAATACCATGTTAGAATCTAATATTGTATGGGTCGCTAGAATAGAGAGAAGTGATGTCGATTAGGTTGAGGGAGGGGGTACAAGGAAAGTATCTATATGGTTTCTATACCCCCTAAAGATAGCCCCAATGTAGCCTAGAGAAATGGAAACATAAACCAATATGTTTTGACAAAGGTGACCATGTTCAAATGCACATGCGAGCGCACGTTCGATTGTGGATTCGAGTTTCCACGTCGTGGCCTAAATTCCCCAAATATTTTTTGGACGTGCCATTTGCGTCGCACGGTAACACTGGCGAAGTTAGCGAAGCTGGCAAAGAGCAAAATGTCAAACTTATATGCTATAGTATGTGTAGGCTGTAGTGGGGTAGACTATATGGGGTACAACATTTCTAGGTTTTCCTACTTGTAACCACCTACTTGCTAGTTCATCCATCCCTCGTTTCTTCACATGGTATAGAGCACGTTCCGCAGTGGGAACGCTTCCTTGGGCCCACCACCAAAAAAAAAAATTCTGACCGGAGCGTCAGTCGCTCCTACCCGAGGCGCGCCTTGTTCGCCGCCCTTCCAGGCCCCACGCGGCCCCTAGCGGCCTCGTCACCGCCCCTACGCGGCCCCGTCACCGCCCCTAACGGCCCCATCGCCGCCCCTAGCGGCCCCGTCGCCGCCTCTCTCACTACGCGGCCCCGTCACCGCCCCTACGCGGCCCCGTCGCCGCCCCTAGCGGCCCCGTCGCCGCCCCCTACGCGGCCCCGTCGCCGCCCCTAGCGGCCCCGTCGCCCCCTCTCTACCTACGCGGCCCCGTCGCCGCCCCTACGCGGCCCTGTCGCCGCCCCTAGCGGCCCCGTCGCCGCACCTAGCGGCCCCGTCGCCGCTCCCCTTCCTACGCGGCCCCGTCGCCGCCACTACGCGGCCAAAACATAGCAGCAGAGAAGAGCATAGTCGCTGTAGGAGCCTCTCTTGGTGACCCTCGCACCCCCGTCTTTGAGGGGTGTTCCCCTTCCCCCCTCTTGCCCTCTGTTGCTTCTGCTGCTGCGGCCGACCTCGTTGGTTTCGAGTCGGTCGGCGCTGCATCTACCCCTAGCGGGAGACGCCACACCGGCAAGGGCAAGGGGGGCAAGGGCGCTGGAGGGGCTGGCGGGGGCGGTGGAGGTGGTGGTGGAGGCAGTGGAGGGGGTGGGGGTGGTGGTGGGAGTGGTGGCGGGGGTGGAGGTGTCGGTGGCAGCAGTGGAGGCGGAGGAGGCGGCGGCGGTGGCTGAGGGAGCGGAGGCGGCGGAGGTGGCGGAGGCGGCGGAGGTGGCGGAGGCGGCGGAGGTGGCGGAGGCGGCGGCGGCAGCGGTGGAGCTGGTCGTGGCTCTGCGCAGAGGAGTGGGTCCGGTGTGATGGAAAGCGAGCGAATCTGGAGAGCGTACAAGAGATTAAGTCTGCCGACTTCGACGGAACATTGTGTGCAGCTCACGTAACCTTAAACTATGAGCAGGTACTCGTTAGAAAGGTCTTGATCTCTAATTTCCAGAATGGTAACGCACGCTTTCAACAAAGATCTAGGCCGATCGCTATCGCGATCTAAGTGCGACGGTGTATCCTGGCGGAATTACTAGGCAGCCATGGATTAGTTCAAGAAAAATGGCTTTAGCAAGAGTTCAGATCTGAAAAGTGACGAGTTGTTCAAACCCTACCAACCCAACCCTCGCCCTACAACAATCCCCAACAACCCAAAGTGCTAAACTAGCAACACCAAAGGTGTTGTAGTGAATAGCAAAGATTTGTTGGTGCTTGTTGGGTGCGAGATCAATACCAGCCCGCAACAAGTCTAACCACCACATTTTACCCAAACCCTTAGCCCACAACCAGCTAGAGCAAAATACCACAACCACCTACACAATCAACACTCCCCCTTGCTCGTGCTGGAGGTGGCTGAACACCACTGGGCAAAATCCTTCACTTCACTCCCCCTTGCCCAGGGAAGGGCGCCATCCACAGCATGAGGTCGTCAATGCAGAGAAGCACTAGTCCTCCCACATCCTGCTCAGGCACCATGCTGATATGGGGCTGCATCTCCATCAAGGACATGCACACACCATGCCGCTCAAAAGGGAGGGGTTTGGTGAGTATATCTGCTGCTTGACGGTTGGTGGGGCACCACCGGAGGATCACCTCGCCGCACGCCACCATCTCCCTGATGAAATGCCACCGAACCTGCATGTGCTTGGTGCGGCCATGCAAGCATGCATTCTGTGCAAGGGCAATGGCAGACTGGTTGTCCACAAACACAGGCACACCACCAGCAAACTCATGCCCAAACTCCCCAAACAAACGCTTCAGCCACACACCCACCTGAATGCACTGACACAGACTGATGTACTCACTCTCAGTGGTAGACAATGCAACCACCGGGTGCCTCTTGCTCTGCCAAGAGATGGCTGCACCATTAAGGCAATAGACATAGCCGGTGTGACTCTTGCGATCAGCTGAATCTCCAGCATAATCAGCATCACTAAAGCCCACCAACTCAACCTGAGGCTTGCTGTGTGCGGGGTAGAATATACCTGACTTGACACAACCTTTCAGGTACCTTAGCACTCTCTTAGCAGCCTGCAGGTGAAATGCCTTGGGACAAGACACCACCTTGGACAGCTGTGACACTGCATAAGCAATCTGGGGCTGAGTGGTCGTGCTTGCATACATGAGAGACCCCACAATACTTTGATAGAGCTGGACCAGCTCATCTCGCAGCAAGGGCTCCTCAGCATGTGCATGCACGTCGAACCCTGTAGGGAGAGGGGTACGCACGGGGTTAGCCTCAGAAAGGCCAAAGGACTCAAGCATGTTGAGAATATACCTCTCTTGATGAATCAGAATGCCACTCTCATCACGCTCAATCTGCACCCCCAAATAGTACTTGGCCTCCCCCAAGTCCTTCATGCGGAACCGAGAGGACAAGAGACCCTTCACCTCGTCCAGCAAGACCATGCTCGAGGACATGAGCAGAATGTCATCCACATAGAGGTAGAGGGACAGCCTGCCCTCATGCCTCACCAAGTGGTACAAGGCGGGGTCACACTCCGACCTCTCAAACCCAAAATCCATTAGCGCCTCGTCAAACTTGAGGTACCACTGCCTTGGAGCTTGCTTTAGCCCATAGATTGATTTCTTGAGTCGGCAAACTCGGCCAGACCCATCATCAAACCCAGGTGGCTACCTCATGTAAAGCTCCTCCTTCAAGACCCCATGAAGATAGGCAGTGGTCACATCCATGTGATGGATGTGAGACCCGAGGATGCTGCCATCCCAAGGGAACCTCTCAGGGTGGTAGGTTTACCCACCGGGGTATATACCTGGTCATAGTGAACGCCTCGTGTTTGAGTGTTCCCCATGGCCACCAACCTGGACTTAGGCCTCTCAATACTCCCATCAGCCATGTGCTTATACTTCCACACCCACTGACACCTCAAGACCTCCATTCCAGGTGGCACACAAGCAGGATCAACCAGCTCAAAAGACTCGTTCACCCTATGAGACTCAAGCTCCTCACGCATGGACTCGACCCACTCAGGACGGGACAAGGCCTCCTTGACCGACTTAGGCTCATGCACCTGACCCATGAGACAGAAATCAAGCCCAAGCTCACCCCTCTCAGCATCCACAAGCATGCACTCCTCCATATCATGCACCTCATGATCATGCATGCAAGCATACTGTGCACTTGGTGTGAACCTTTCGGGTGGCCGGGAGATGCGTGTGGTGCGGCGCAGAGGTGATGCCTCCCCCTGCTCCAAACTTTGCAGCTTCTCCGTCCAAGTCACTCTCTTCATGGGGGACCGTGGTGACTTGGACAGCTGCTGCTGCAGTATTTGCTGCCACCTACCTGCAGGAACAGGTGGTGTATGCTCCTGTGGTGGCTGCTGCGGCTTCTCTTGTTGCTGCTGCTGCCCCTGTGGCTGCTCCGGGTCATGGGCTGGTGCGTTAGGGTCAGGGGTAGAACCAGCAGTTGGTGACTCCTCATGGTGAGGTGCAGCTGCCTTTTGTTCCTCTTGCTGCTCCTCTACCTCCTCTCCAGGGTCCTCCCATGCCCCCTCAAAGATGGAAGAGGTGTAGGGATCCTGAAGGGAGCTCCCAACTGTATTAGCACTATGCTCTTTCCACCCCTTATAGCTCAGCCCCTCGTGGAAAACCACATCCCTGCTTTCCACCACCCGCTGATCCGCCACACTCCACAACATCCAAGCTTTACTCCTCTCCGACACCCCAAGAAAAATGCCCCATTGTGCCTTATGATCCAGCTTCCTCCGTTGCTGGTCGGGCACTTTGTACTGCACCATGCACCCCCACACTCGTGCCATGGACACACTAGGCACCTTCCTGGTCCACATGAAGTAAGGGCTCTTGCCCCCTAGCCCCTTGCTGCCCATTCTGTTCTTAACCCAGTTGGCATATTGCACTGCTGTCCCCCACCAAGTATGGTCCAGCTGCGCATGAGCAAGCATGGCTCGGGCAAGGTCAATGAGGGTCCGGTTTAGCCGCTCCGCTGCCCCATTTTGCTGTGGTGTGTAGGCGACTGAAAGCTGGTGGGTGATGCCCTTGTCTTCAAGGAAAGACTCCAGATCCTTCCCCTTGTACTCCCCACCCCGATCAGACCTTAGTATCTTCACCTTCGCCCCGGCTTCCCTCTCCGCATAGCGTATCCAACGTTTGAAGACCTTGGCCACCTCATCCTTGGTTTTCACCAAGGTAACCCAACTTAGGCGGCTGAAGTCATCCAAGAAGGTGATGAAGTATTTGCTGCCCTTCTCCCTATCCGGTGTTTGCATGGGGCCACACACATCCGTGTGCACCAACTCAAGAGGTGCGGAGGCTCGAGTGGTGGAGGTAGGGAAAGAGGTCCTTGGCAGCTTCCCGGTCGTGCAATCAGGGCACTTGCTTGGCTGCCCACCACCCTCCTTGATCTCCACACCCTTCAGCTCCCCCTTCTTCACACACTCCACAAGTTGCTGCCTTCCTGCATGCCCCATGCGTAGGTGCAGCAAATCTGCCGTCACCTGCTCCACGTCCCTCTAACGGCTGCTACAAGCGGCTTCCTCGGCTTCAACTCCATGTGCCCTCTCCACCTAAGGCACACAAACTGGAACAAGGTATAGGCCCTTCTCTAATTTGGCCTCCATCACCACAGCTCCACCCTTGCGAACCGTGCCACCTTCCATGGTGAAGGTGCATATGTATTCTTGCCTCGCAAGTTGAGAGCATGAGAGAAGGTTGGCTGCCAAATCAGGAACATGAAGCACACCCTTCACATTCAGCCCCTCCCCCTCCTTCCCCATGACGGTGATGGTGCCGATGCCGATTGCTTGCAACGTATCTCCGCTCCCCACAATCACATTTCTAGAGTTAGGTGGGAGGGAGTGATAGGTGGTGAAGAGGTCGCGCCGAGGTACCATTCCACAGGTTGCCCCAGAGTCTAGAATGAGCTGATTGGGGTCAGCCAACACACGACCAGCAAGCGCCGTCTCCTTCTCCAAGGATAAGAAGGAGAAACCATCATCCGATGAGTCCTCTTTTCCCTTCTTATTCTCGTTTGCCGCCGTTGCTGCCGATTTCTCTTTGCTGCCCTTCTTGTTCCATGCTCCATTCTTCATCCTCCTCTCCACCCACTCAGGCCTAGTGACAGGTGGAGCCTCTCCTGGGTACCCTTGAGGCTTCCACTCATCAGGACGGCTCCAACACTCCTTCCAAGAATGCTTCCGGTTGCATCCAGGGACGAGGCACTTGTCGAGCTCCTTCTTCTTCCCCACACCTCCTTGCCGCTGCTGGTATTTCTTGGAGACAGCCCTATCCCCTGCCCCCATTCCCCCTTCAACTATTCTACCAGCATCCCGTTTGCGAGCCTCATCAGCGACCAACACCTCCCATATCCAGGCCTTGGTCCATTTCTGTTGCTCAAGGTGAAGGTACTGCAGTAGGGCCTCGTTCACCTCTTGGTCCAGCCCCTGGAGTGCGGTGTAGATGATCTCCTTCTCATCTACAGTGTAGTTCAACTCCTCTAAGGCTCTCACATACGCATCCACCCTCAGGAGATACTGCACCATGGTCTCCCCATCGCCATAGTTGCGTTCCATGGTGTAGAACCGCTTCCTCCAGGTGAGTATGCTTAGCAACCCCTTTTGCAAATGTCGATCTTGAACTCTCTTCCATGCTAGTGCAGCTGCTCCTTGCTTGCCCTTCAGGTCAATCAGCATCTTTAGGAGCTCTAGTTGGCCTTCCAAGACCCAACACAGGTACTGGAACGCTTGCTTGTCCTTGCGGTCCCATGCTTCCTGTGCCTTAAGAAGCTCCTCCGCACTAAGCCGTTGCCTTCTGGTTCGCGATGCTGCTGATCCACCTCCACT